ATGTATCAATGGTGGTGGTCCTTCTGTGTAAAGTTAGCTAGTGTGGATTCGCGTAAAGCTGCCAAACAACCTATTGACAAGAGCCTATTCATTTCATTCTTGCTATTTCCGCACCCCTGTCCGGTTTTTTGAGAAAGAAAGTCGAGACATTCAGAAAGAGAGTTATGGCATTTCTAGGATTAGAATACGGTCCTATTGATTCAATCTTTATGCTTGGCACGAAACTCTTGTTTCGAGTGAAAGGGAGAGCAGTGGCCCGCACCGCATTCACAGGTAAATTTCCCTCTACGGGGCGGGGTGTGGAAAGCACTATAAGTTAGTTGACTTCTCGACTTCTTACCTGTATTCCTTCTCTGACTAGCCTAGCTTGAATATTTCTTTATAAAAGACTAACGGCAAAGATTTTCTACCTCCTGTAAGCTCGTTACGCTTAACGCCCACTTACTTAAAGACTCGTTGGTTCACGACTCTATAAATGAAAATATGAATTTGAGTCGTTACCTACAGAAGCAGTTGCCCTTCTCCGGATTTACCCGGTGAGGGTGGCGCTTGTGAGTCAAAGTTGACACTTTCCATGTATGGATCATACCTTTGTTTGGCATCCTGGGACAGTAGCCCCAGGTACTGATGAAGTGACTCCCGGGTAGAGAAAGAAAGTGCTGGCAGAAAGGAACTCTCAAAGCATGGGGTTTCGCCGGGCGAAGCTCCTATCCCCAAACAAAGGCTGTTGTCGGCATTTCCGTTCTTTGCATTTTAGCACTTTTACCTGACCCTTCGTCACTACTTTCTGATCATGTGGATGCCGCTCTTAGAGAATCCGCGAAAGGAAAGGACACTGTGAGGGAGATGGGTCCTAGCTACTTCTTTCATAACTAGCAAATTAATTACAACAACTTGATGCTTGTGTTATTATCCTCTTTCAACTCTACAGAACTCGATAACATATGACTAATTGAGAAAATAATCATTAAGTATGGTTTTTCTTAATATTTTCAACAAAGAGTCTGAAAATTCATGAAAAGTTATTTCCACCCTTATTTTACTGTGTCATAAAAGTAATGGAAATAGATATATATTTCTTTAAAGGAAAATAAATATAAATTCTCTAAATCTCATTTAAATATATATAATAATATATGTGCTTTAAAACTAGGATAAAACAAAATAACTATTGGTTTCCCTTTTTTTGCCTTTAAACAAGCTAGATACCAAGACGAGCTTCAATAATTCAAATTGGAAAAACTTTAAAGATGGAAAAGTGTCATGAGGTTGGCTCGTTCTTTGAATCTGATATTAATTTATAAGATGCTGGGTTGTATGTCATGTTGGTCAATTAACACTTTTAAGAATGCATCAAAAATAAAAATAAAAATGGAATCATGGTATGATACGATACCATAAAAAAATAAAAAACAATTATGGCAGAAAAATACTTAAAAAGAGTTTTATTATTATTGTTGTGGTTGTTGTTGTTTAATTTTACGGTGAACAAAACACCCGCAACTTTTTTAATATATATATATATTTTTAATTGGCCTCAACCACTAGCCTACATTAACTATTAATCATTGAAAACAAATAATTCGACAATGATTTTGTCTTGCAAGGATATTATTCCTTTTAAGGTATTGTAGCATTGATGGAAGAAATGCATGTGGAGGTTGTATCATACTTCTCAATACTTTGACCGTAATTTGTTGGTATTTATAGAGATCTTTTTTTATAATCATTAAATACCGTGTAATGATATTATTTAAAAATTTTAAAACTATATAAGATGTTAAATTTATTAAAAAATATAAAAATATATATCGCTAGATGATAATATAAAAAATTCATACTTTAAATCTATATTAAAATGTGACAAAAATTATATAATTCAAGACAATTCTTAAGTCTGACTCACAGTGAAGGCCCAATATGTAGAAACCTCAAGGCCTATAACTTTTGTTACTCGAAACTCTTAAAAGAATACAAAAGTTGAGTTGGCAAAATGCAATATCAGACTGTGCTTTAGACCAATATATGAGCCCATTTTATAAAGGGTCCAGCCTTTCTCTAAATAAGCTTGAGATACACCACTCCAAAAGCTAGCTCAAAGGGTGAGAGTACTCAAGGCCTTATAAACTCCACACTAGTTGCACATATAACTAATGTGAGACTATATATCTCAACACGCCCCCTCACACAAGAGCCCATTGGGCTTGAAGAGTGGACGATGCAACAGGCCCAACCCTACCTGTGCTAAGAACGCCACACGAGAAAGCGGGGGGCGGCGAGGCTCTGATACCATGTTAAGAACCTTGGGATACACCACCCCAAAAGCTAGCTCAAAGGGTGGGAGTGACCAATGCCTTATAAAGACCATATTAGTTTCACATCCAATCAATGTGGGACTATATATCTCAACACTTTCAAGGTCTCACCATGATTTTAGGGCATGACCAATACGAAAATACTCGGGACTATTCTAACCATAAATTCCTTGTTATCTTGTCAGTTAAAAAATGGAAAATACTAATCACATCACGTTATATATAGATCAACAAACACTCTACAATAATATTTTATCAAATAAAAATAGATAACACAGTATGACATTAATAGCCATTTCCACGTTTACCGAAAAAAAAAAATAGCCATTTCCACACTTTATATATCATGGTTAATGAATACATAATTCTTATGTTACTAAAAAATTTGGGATAATGATACATAATTAATCTTATATTATATCTAATGCGCTTCTTACGCAACAGTCCAACAGGCTGAGTATGTAGGAACTAAACAAATATATTTTTAAGAAAACTACTCTCATGCAACGTGAGAGTATTTTTATCTCCAATAAATCTATCGAAAATTGTGGCATTTTTTCTTTTCTTTTTTGTAAATGATAGATCCTATCACATGTGCCTATGCAAAATGAGAGACCTTCTCTTTTACTACATGAGATTAGATGAGCTCTATATTTTTCTCTATGGAGTTAATTCATCATTTTTCTGCAAGGGAAAATGTCTGAATATAAAATCTTTTATTTACCTTTCAAGTTGGATTAAGAAATAATATAATATAAAATAATAAAAGTAGTTTTATCTAATAATTTAAATTTTAAGATTAAATTAATTTTTTACATAATATCAAAATTCCCACGATCTAAAGAATTTAGAGTTCTTTAGATCTCAATTTTTGTCACCCCATTTTTTTTAATATGTTTTAAACCTTAATAAAAGGGCTCATGGTGTATTGCCATATTGGACCTCTAGATTTTAATAGTTCAAACAAGTTGAGCTTTTAGGTTATAGTAGTTCTTTACAAACAGATTAATATAGAACACACGTAACAAATTTTTTAAAGAAGTGTAGATAACATGAAAACATGTATGATAGGTATTTAATATGATGGAAGGGTGGCCTACCAGAAATACCAAATATATGTAAGTGTTACCAATGAAAGAAGTACTGACGTATGAGACAGTTTACCAAGTCTTAAATTAGAGTTTGCTATTAAGATAATAGGCTTTGATTACGCACCAATATCCTTTTTTGGAGCGTGTTCAGGAAGTAGATACTCCCTTTCCCAAAAGAAAATATTTTCTCTTATTTGATACATGCCTCTGTAGACCTTGAACCTGTGGTTGACTTTTAAACATTTATTATTTAAAATGAATAATTATCAATTTAATTATTGATTGCGTTTTAAATATTTATGTATGTGAGAATATTATAAACAAAATGTGAAAGAGTTATATTTTTTGAAAGAAAAAAAATTCTCAACTGTGAGTCTGTGACTCGAGTATCTATTTTTGTTTTATTTTGTCTTCAGTTTACTGTTATTATATTGAAACATAAACTAAATTAATTGTTGCCGTTTCGGGTGGGAGTTGTCTTCTATTAAACAATCAGAAATTATTCCTGTTCTCAATACTAAATTTCAAGCTTTGTCCGTTTATGACAGAAAATAGTAATACAATCCACTTGGGGTGTTTATTAAATAAGATATGCAATTATACTTTCTTTTTAATTTTCATATTTTATATATATGGAGACACACGTGTGTGACATTCACAATGAAACCCGAAATATTTTCATATGAATTAAAAAACATAAATATAAATACATCTAAATATTTTTTTTGATATGTAGTATTTATGTTAAGATGCTCTTTGATTTTGGAAAAGGATGTCAATTTCATGACAATAAACGACACGACACAAATTGATATGAATTTCAAATAGTTTCATTATACAGTGCTGTTGTAAACTTCATTTAAATAGTTTATAATTTTCAAATTCAATAATAAATAATTGAAAAGTATTGTTCATACTTTTATTTTTATTTTTTTGATACTATAAAAATGAGCTTTGCTATAAATTACTTTATTTTATGGTGAGAGAAGCATAAACCATGATTATAGAAAATGAGAGGTTTTTTTAATCTAAATATTAAATAAAATTTTCTAATTTTAAATAAAATAACTTTCCTTTAAAAAATTAAATATTTTTTTCTTAAAATTATATATCCAAATAGAATATAAGTAACAAAAATTAATATTGTCAGTAACTAGTAAATAATAATTAATAATTGTTGTCAAGTCAAGTTATGAATAGTATCGATGGGCAGTGGTAGACAGAAACAGCCAGATATACAAATTGGAATATTAATTGACTCCAACAGCTACCTTGTTATTAACGTAAATTATATCCATTTGGATTTTTAAAATAAGAGGTGCACTTGAGAAAAAAAACAAAACTAAAATATGTTAATCAGAAAGGAACATGTTAATTTTTATTTTTTTTATAATGATGATAATAAGCAATATTTTTGTTTTTGACTGGAATATGTGTAATTGAGAAGGGAAAAAAGGGGGTGGTGGGGACCAAAAAGCGAAAGAGCGCGTAGGTAACCATCCGCCATATTGGAAAGGGTGTTTTGAGTGTTGACTTGGCAATAATAAATAACGGTTGGTGTTATGTCTTTCTTTTTTCTTCATTCTTCATTCTTCTCGGTGAAGTTAAGGTAGTTTTCTTCTTCCTGTTCCAAATTCAAAGTGTTCTCTTTTCTTCTGCCTTTACCCTTCTTCCATTTTGTGCTCCAAAGGACAAAAACACTGCAATCACAGAGTCTTTCTAATAGGTGAGATTTTCCTCTTTCATAACCCGGAATCTTGGTTTTTGGGTTTTGTTCTGTTTGACTAGTTCATCTAATGCTCTGCGTTTCTTTGCCTTTTTCACCAGTTACTCTTTTCTTTTCATGAACACATAGGAATATCACAACTGGGATTTTTTTTTTCTTTCTTTTTCATTTTGTTATATACTTTGTGTCAAAGAGTGAGATTACAGAATCTCTCTGTAAAGGTAACTATTTTATTTTATTTATTCAAAACCCAGAATTCCCTTTGATCACTTTGGAGAGTTAATTGTTTGTAGAGTGTTTTTGTGTGTGTGTGTGTGTTGGGGGTGTACATAGATATGGATATATATAGTAGAAATTTGTTAGTATACTTTCTGGCTTCTTGAAGTTTTGAGTCCCTCAATCATATGTACCCTTTGGTGGAATTCGTTTTCACCATATTTATTTATTGGGAATAATATAATATGCCGCTGTTGGTCTTTGACTTGTGGGGTTGTTTTGTGATTCTTCTGAATTTTGATTCATTTCTATAATGTGTTTCCAGTGCTTTATTCCTTTTGGAAAATTAAAATTATTACTTAGTTTATATGAGTGAAGGGAAAAGGGATGAAAAAAGAGTATATCTATGTTAATTTATAATTGCTTGCCATATTTTCATAATGTTCCTGTGTTAAATAAATGTATAATGAATGATCAACATCTGATCATTAAATTTCTGTCGAAAAAAGAAAGATTGTTATTAACTCAGAAGTTTTCAAAGTTTTATCTGAAAAGGTAATTCCACTACATGAGAACTTCAAAATCCTACTGGAAATATGTGCAATCAAAATTGCTGCTATTTGATCCTCTTAAGACATTGTTGTGTAAACACTAGCATGAGATAACAACCTAACTAAATAGTTAGTTTGACTGGTTGTTTTCTTTTGTTATTATTTGATGTTGTTTATCATGCCAGGGAAAGCAAGGGTTTTTTTTTTTTTATTGATAGTATATTCCTAGTCTTATCGATACTTCTTGCAATGATTTAACCATTGATGTTGAAACTTACCACCAGAATAGAGGATCATGGCTTGCTTTGGCTTTTGCAAAGAAAATGATAGTTATACACCTGCTGACAAAGGACCCTTCATGCAAAGCAATCCTACTGGTAATCCACTATTTTCGGTCTTTTTTCCTTCTTTACAACTTTCTTCTTTAAGATTCTATCTTACATTTAATTTCATAGAATTCATTGTCATGATCTGAAATGCAAGGTTCATGGATTGTGCCTGTAGTCTGCTCAAATTCCTATACAACGACAATTTTAACTTGCTGTCCTTGACATTTTACATGTTTTTGATATTTTTCTGTGCCATTCTCTATTGACCAGCTTCTAAATTGAGATGTTCCGAAAATGGCTAGTCTTAAGTTTACTTCTAGTGCTTCACTCAGTTTGTAGTTTAAGCGATTGTGTTTATTGTATATTTGTACTTATGTTAGCACTTTATAATTCTGTTTTCATTTTGATTCCACTTTGGTGCAGCTCTAATTCTGTTAGTGCAATACAGGGAACGCCAGTTTTCATGGCAGACACACAGCAATAGCCACTCCTCGGCCTATAATTTTTCAACCCATTTCTGTACCTGCCCTTACAGTAGATGAATTGAAGTCTTTGACAGATAATTTTGGCTCAAAATCTTTCATTGGTGAGGGTTCATATGGGAAAGTATATCATGCCGTATTGAAAGATGGGCGTGCTGTGGCAATTAAAAAGTTAGATTCTAGTAAGCAACCAGACCAGGAATTTCTTTCTCAGGTTTGGTTCAATTGCAATCATAATTTTTTTTTAACAATAAGATAGTAAATCATTATTTTATATTTATTGCACCATATTCTGTATTTCAACTATGTTTATATGCTGTACTTTTGATTCCTGACTTTTATAGGTCTCCATCGTATCAAGGCTAAAGCATGAAAACTATGTTGAGCTTATTAGTTATTGCGTTGATGGTCCTTTTCGTGCACTTGCTTATGAGTTTGCTCCTAAAGGATCTCTTCATGATATTCTACATGGTTAGTCATAACAATTCCATATTATTCCTCATTTTATGCATAAATTATACAAATATATTCTATTACAGATATATAAAAAATAGAGTAATTATAAATGTATATTAATATCTTCATTGCAATATGTAATATTATTGTAATTGTGGATATAGGACGCAAAGGTATTAAGGGTGCACAACCTGGTCCAGTGCTCACATGGGCTCAGAGAGTTAAAATTGCTGTTGGAGCAGCCAGAGGACTTGAATATCTTCATGAAAAGGCAGAGATGCATATCATCCATCGTTACATTAAGTCTACTAACATACTGCTTTTTGATGATGATGTTGCAAAGATTGCTGATTTTGATTTGTCAAATCAAGCCCCTGATGCAGCAGCACGTCTTCATTCGACCCGTGTTCTTGGAACCTTTGGTTATCATGCTCCAGAGTAAGTAATTCTGGGATGCGAATATACTTTTTTGATGTGTTTTTTTTTTTTCAGTGCAAACTTGCTTTTTCACATACAGAAAACTGTTAAGTAAAAAAAAAAAAAGATGATGAAAATTACTGAGTAAACATGCAACAGATTAATATTTAATGGGAAGAGTTATATTTACAAATTCAACCATGTACTTTGGGGAATACACACTTAAGTGTTTGTACTTCTCAGAGTACATAATTGAGTTTGTAAATATAACCTGACCCATATTTAATAGTAAATTAGTGATATATGTGGACAGTGATGTAGTGAACTTCAATCCACTTGACACTCAATTATAAATTTGGTTCATTGTGTCTCTTTACACATTTTACAGTTGTGGTTTTAAGAACTTATTGGGGTTGATTTTTTGGATGACAGATATGCAATGACTGGACAACTCACTTCAAAAAGTGATGTTTATAGTTTTGGAGTTATACTGCTTGAACTCTTAACTGGGCGTAAACCTGTTGATCACACACTGCCCCGAGGACAGCAAAGCCTTGTGACATGGGTATCAACTTTGTTTCATAAGTGGTTTCATTGAATTTTGGATTTTGCATGTTGTGATTATTGTTCATTGGATTTGATCAGGCAACACCAAAGCTTAGTGAAGATAAGGTGAAGCAATGTGTTGATGTTAGATTAAAGGGAGACTACCCTTCAAAGTCAGTTGCAAAGGTAATTAGGTTATATTCTGGTGATGGAATATTGTCTTTTAGTTCAACTATATTGTTGAATATTGGTTGCAAACTTTTTATTCTATTCTTAATAGGAGAAAGTTATGTTTACAAACTTTTTGTTTACAAACTACACTATGTCTGGTCGGTAATACACTCTTGAGTAGAGTATTACCGGTCAGACATAAAGTATTTTGTAAGTTTGTAAAAAAAAAGTTTGTCAATATAACCCTACTCTTCTTAATAAGCCTTAAAGAAATATATGCTTTTGCCAACTGAATAATTTATTTAAAGGAAATTTGTTATAGTATTGATTTCACCCACTTATGTATTACTTGGTATTTTTGTAAAAGATGGCTGCTGTTGCTGCGTTGTGTGTGCAATATGAAGCTGAGTTTCGGCCAAATATGAGCATTATAGTGAAAGCTCTACAGCCTCTACTAAATACTCGTTCTGTTCACTCAAAGGAATCACCAAAAATGTAAATTCCAAAACCATTCATTCCTTTTTGTGCAGACTGCAGAGAGCTTTAACGAATTGTCTTTTGTGACTAGTGTCAGTATTTACATATCATATGTTATAGTCTAAAGTATTGTTTGCATTATTGTATTTGTATCTTTATTTAGTAAAGCATTCTACAAAAATAATGGTCATGTATGAAAGTGGCAAGCGCCATTTATAGTTAAGTTTCTAGTTTTGAATGCTTATTGGAATTTTATAATGTTTGGTTTTGTTCGGATCTACAACTCATATACAAGTAAATATATATATATATATACTTCTTAGGGAGAACATGCGTCTAGTTGCTTTGCAATTTTAAAATGAAAGTTCTTCTCAACGCTAGGGAAATCTAGAAGCATGCTTATTTTTACTTTTTGATACCGTTGACTTTTACCGTTGAATCTTGGAACTTGAGCCTTTTTCAACTTGACGGTGTTCGACAGCAATATAATTAGAAGGAGCTTCTCTCAATGCGGATTTGACATAGGATAGTTAGTCTTTTTTTTTTTCATTTTAAAGTTTAATTTGAGAAATATTTTGATCACACTATTATTTTAAAAGTTTAAACAATGATGCAGAGTAGGGGTAATAATTTTCAGCTCCACACAATTTTTCTGTGTTCGTGTCAAGTGAACAAAAAAAATTTGTATTGTATTCGTATCCAAGATATTTGTGTTTTTGTCGACCGTATTCGTATTCGTATTAGTGTTAGGGGTGGCAATTTGGGTTGACCCGTCCCGACCCGCCATCAACCCGCCAAAAACGGGGCGGGACGGGTTGACCCGTCAAAAAATATGGGTTGTAAAAATGAACCCACCCCGTTTTATGGTGGGTTGGCGGGTCAACCCACCAACCCGCCAATTAAAAAAAATTTAATTAAAATTCAAAAATAAATTATATTTTATGAATTTTTTTTAATATTATTTTATTTTATTTCACACTTCTCTATATTTTTTTTAGTCTCAACCTTAAATGTATACTAATATTTGTCAAACATTCTTTAGAACTTTATAAATAGATAACATTTGTCATAAATAAAATTGTTATTCTTTATTTTTTCTAGAAAGTACTAAGATAAAAAAAATTGAATATCACAAAAATTTAAGTACTAATGAAATACTACCTAATTGTAAAAAAATAATAAAAAAATTTAAAATCCGGCGGGTCAACCCGCCCCTCGGCGGGTTGAACCTGTTTTGACCCACTTCTAGGCGGGGCGGGTTGAGGTGGGTTGGTGGGTTGAAAATCTCAACCCAACCCGCCCCGTTTTGGCGGGTTGGCGGGTTGACCCGCCGGACTCAACCCATATCGCCACCCCTAGTTAGTGTTGATTAAGAAGTTAATTGAAAGAATTAATATGATATTCGTTTTATTAGCATTTGTGTTCATGTCAGCTTGTAATTGATTCATTTAAATTAAATGATTATATATTTATCACACTTATCTCATTTTTGTTTAATAATTTGAAATTATTTAAGTAATTTTTATTTGAAAAATAAAATTGATGAGTTATTTCATTATTTATGTTATATAAATCCGCATAATAAATGAATTATTTTAGTATTGAGGGTTATGAACTTATGATATGAATAACTATGCGAATACATATCATTTAGGTTAAAAATGTTTAAAAAATGAATTGGAATCAGATGGGTCATCACTTTGATTATTCCTCGTTATGTGGAAATGTTTTTGATTAATGATTACATATTCAACTTAATTGGTTGACTTTTTTTTGGTGAAAACGTAATTGGTTAAATTAATTAAATCGTGTGGGAGAGAGATCTTGTTACTTCAATCATTGCATTCATTTCTAAAATACGGGTTGAAAGTGAACTTTTTTATTTAAAATATTGGTTGAAATTGATAAAGTTGATTTAAAGAAAAAAATGGATTAAAAATATAGAAACGAACAACGAATAGATGAAAAAGATTAGAGAAATTATCTACTAAAAAAAACATAGAAAAAATAGATTAAAAAAATAAAATCAAAATATAAAAAATTGAATACAAATTACGGTATAAAGTGAATCTGAGATATATACTTATATTTTATTTTTGTCATTTTCATATATTTATTACAGGGATAAAATATTATACATATTTTTTCCCATCATCTTCATTATTGGTTGAGATTGTAATTTAATTATATAGAAATAAATAAATATAGTATGCATAAAAAAATAGGCATAATATTTTATCCTTTTATTATAGGGTTTTATAAGAGTTATGTTGTAGAAAAAGTGATTGTGTAATGTTATAGAGATTCGTTTTGCGTGCCGTAGTTTTTTTTTTTTGTTTCAAAAAGTGAGCCCCATAAAATATTGTGTGTGTAGAAAATTTTGTTGTGTCATGTTAAATGATAAATGTAATCCCCTTTATTATATGAGTTTGGTATTTGTCATTTTAAATGACACAAGTTATTTCATTTTAAGAGAGAAATAGACACAGGAAAAATAAAAATCATGTGTGAGAGAAAGTGATTGGTTTTTTTAATTTAAAATTCAAATTTTCTGTGTCTGTATCTCTCTTAAAATGACATAACTTTCTGTCATTTAAAATGACAAACACTTTTCTCTTATTATATATATTAAACAAGTATCAATAAAGTGATTTTCATTTTAGTTTCTAGTTCCACATTCAAGGGAACCCCGTATTCTAGAAGCGCGAAGGTTTTCCCATAAACCACAGAATGAGAAAGGGTCAAAAAATGAATTTAATACCAATGCCTCGTAAAATTGAAAAAAAAAATAAAAAAATACACTGACGTGTTGTTCTACTTTTTTTAATGAGTTTGACTATGTATAAAATATCAAGTTCATTTAATGATGTGGCAATTTATTATCAAAATTAAAATTTTAAAATAGATTATGCCATTATAGTTTTGAACAGGCAACGGGACAGGATAAGGGTTCTAAAATGTTATGATCACCCTAAAAAACAAAGCAGGTAACTAAGGAATATGAGATAGGAACATATTATGTTATGTTATGTTTTGTTTGATTTATTTTCTGTTTAGTGCAACGAAAATGTATTACTTTTTATTCTCATAGTCTCATCTGTTTTATTTTTAAATGCATATTAGGAGAAGACTGTACCTTTGTTTGCACTAAAAAATCCACACCTAACCCCACCACAAAATGTCAGACATGAAAATTATTAGTTTCACCTATTTGTAACAAAATCCACCTACTTATGTAAGTAAACCAAATCTTTATCATAACTTAGTAAAGTTATAATTAAACCTTAATCTAACCAAGCTAATGTGCCCAAGCTCTGGTTGCTGCATATATTTATTTATACATAGGTGAACAAATCAAAAACCCACCAAACAATAAATGGTAGACATAATTAGGTGAACAACAATGCACTCAAAATAGGCCAATCTGCTCAACTTCCAAGCAGCAACTTTCCTTACTAGAAGAGGACCCTTTGTAGGCCATTATTATTATATAATGGTATGGTATGCCCTTAATTAATAGTACCCTATTGGAGGACTTTTCTTGAAATGGCTAGCAACTCTGTGGCAAAGGAACGTGCAGGGGCAGAGATTGTGTATGGCTCTGAAGATTGTCATCGCCACTCCATAGAGCTCTTGGAAGAGCTTGGTTTCCCCACTGGTGTTCTTCCCTTGAAAGACCTTGTGGAGTGTGGCAGAGTTAGAGAAACTGGGTTTGTGTGGATGAAACAGAAGGCCCCATATGAGCATTTCTTTGAGGGAACCAACACAAGGGTGAGTTATGCTGTAGAAGTCACTGGCTATGTTGAGAAGTTTAAGATGAAAAAGATGACAGGCATTAAGAGCAAGCAAATGCTGCTATGGGTGTCAATAACTGAGATGAGCATTGAAGATCCAAAGGGAAAGAAAATACTCTTTAAGACCCCTATGGGGATTGGAAAGTCCTTCCCTTTTAAGGCCTTCATGAACCAAGAGGAACAGGAGAAGGATATTAAAGAAAACAAGTAATAAGCTTGAATTTTTATTTTACCCTACGAGATCTTGATTATGAATAATTAGCAACTAGAATATTTACTATATATAAATTAGTTAATTTCACGGGATTGATTTGTCAAGCATGCATACTTAATTCTGTTGGTTGATTTTGTAAGATGCGATATTTAGTGATTTCTTTGATATTTTGTTCCAGAAGAATTGAATGATATATATTACCAAATATCAAGTTAATGAATACTAGTATTGAAAGCAGAATGGGAACTTGAGTATTTACTGTTGACGCACACAATAGTGAATATGTAGCATCGATACGACACGCGACACGTGACACGATACTCCGACACGTCAATCCTAAAAAAAAATGAATTTTGACACGTTCGGACACGTTTTAATATTAAATAATATTTTTAATTTATATAGTGTATATTTCATTTAATATTTAATAATTTAACAAAAAAATGAAACTAAATTAATAATACCCATCAACACGTTATAAAAATGGAAGCTTTAATAAAAAATAAGAACTAGGATGAGAGAGAGATATAATATTAGATAGAGAGATCAGAGACAAGGAGATACAACAAGAGCATGATAGGAATTGACAACAATGATGCTGAGATGATCTCTTATCTACTTAAGGGAAAAAAAGACAAAAAAATAAAATTGATATGATCAGGTAGAAGCTTTATTAATATATTTTAATTTAAAAAAAAAAAAAATTAAAAAAAAATTTAAAAAAAAATTACGAAAATGTCATTTGACCATGTCGGACACGGTCAAAGTCGCGTGTCGGAATGATCAACGTGTCGGAAAAAGTTGACCGTGTGTCCGACACCGTGTCGGAGCGTGTCAGACACGACTCTCCCTGTTTTTACAATTGTTCGTGCTTCCTTGGTGAAGTCTAAGATAATTGGCGACAAAATTCAGAATTAATAGAAGAACCAATTCTCTCTATGTCTAAAGTCCAATATTTAGTTATTGGTCTGTTAACACTTTGAAATTTTCCTTTATACATCCCATGAGACTTTCAATTATTATTAAATATTTTACTATTGCCAAGAAAACAAAAAAAAAAGCTGCTCAGAAGCTAGCTCTGCTGCTAAAGGTAGTATTAAAAGTGGCTGTCATAACAAAGAAAATAGTTGGGAGAGCCTATGCTTCCATAATAATCAAGAAATTCTTCACTGCTATTATAGAGACAATAAGCACATATTTTGTGTGTCTTTCACGCTTGATAAAATTTTGGTATCATCTTACACAAACAGCAATTCCTTTATGATCGTATTGAGTGGTGAAACAAACAAAAAGACAGGGAAGGTATGAATAGCAATGAACTGTACACACTAGTGGAAGGTATCTGTTCAATCCCATATTCGTACACAAAAATCTACAGCCTAACATCTACATCTAAGCTATAACAACAAATAGTATATAAACCATCCCAACTCATTCCTGCTCCATGTCTTTGATGTCAAATGCGGCAGTTATCAGAACTCATAGAAGCTCAAAAGAATGCAAAAATTCTCCCTTCACTAGTGTACCTTATCCATGAATCCATGGTTCTACTTCCGTTGGTTCCTTCTGCCATTGGACTTAGAATCTGGAACATCACTCTTTTCTGTATCAAAAGTCTCCTTCTGGGCCTCCTCCAGCTCTATATTTCCTGCCTGACTCTTTCGGCGTCTACGATCCTGAAATGTCACCCTCTTCATTCAGAAACATATCATGTTTCAAATACTTTGTTAGATATAAAATCATTCATGTATTTTCACCAAATAACTTAAACTTTTGGAAGATAACATTCATAACATAATATCAAAGCCTTTACCACCATGTGATCTTGAGTTTGATCCTTGTTAGATCATAATTTCAACACACTTCACCAAGAGCAAGTCTTAAAAAGGAATAAGTTGCTTTGAAGTGATCTCAAAGTAAATGTTTCAATTACAGTTTCCTCAAAAAAAGAATTTAGAGGTTGTTGCAAGGAACCGAATAAAATTTCATTAGAAAAAGAGAGACACCACCAAGATTGTCAAGATAGCGATTAAGATCGTAGGATCCTATGATTTTTGTCATCCCAGCGATCCAAATCGCAAGTGAGATCGTCCTCCACTAAGATCGTGTGAGATCGACAAGTAAAATCATTCAATCGGTGGAATCGCCCCATCCCATCATTTTAATGATTGTGAAAAAAGCCCCACAATCAGAATCTGAAGACCGGAGATCGGAGAGAAAAATAACCACAGATAAGACCTTGGAAAGTGAAGAAGAAGAACTATACAAGAAAAGGAAACTTTGCAAGATGGGGATGGAGAGAAGAGCTTCAGGGTGAACATAGCTCACACCAGTTCCATCACCATCTTCTCTCCGACAAGCCACTACCTGAAACAAAAACCAACACAGACCCATAATTGAAAACTCTAGCAAAATCAAATTTTTTGCATTGAGTCGAAACTGTGTAAGAAAAGTGAAACCCCATTAAACAAAAAGGGTAACAAAGACAACACAGAGGAGAGAGCTGGTACCTTGTAAAAAGACAGTGAGAAAGGTTTCTGAAGAAACTCAGAGAAGTGGAATTGGAGATGGAAGCCGAGGAAGAAGAAGAGGAAGTGAGGGAAAGGTTCCTCATTTTGGAGGGAAGGGTAAGCCATGAGCATGAAACTGCTGCCATTGCTCTCTCTCTCTCTGTGTGTGTGTGTGTGTGTGTGCAGAGCTCTTCAGTTTGATGGGTCTCTTTATCCGTTGAGGTGAGGGTATCTTAGGACCCACTTGCAAGGTATGGGACTTGGAGTCCCACATTGGTTGTATGGACAACTAATGTGGGGTTTATAAGGCCTTAAGCACTCTCATCCTTTGAGCTAGCTTTTGGGGTAGTGCACCTCTAGGTTCTTATCAAGTGGTATCAGAGTACTCACTATGTTTCACAAATTGGAACCTGGAACTGGAACCCGGGGGTTGGACCCTTGAACTTGGAACCCAAGGCGTGGTGGAACGTTAGGACCCATTTGCAAGGTACGGGACTTGGAGTCCCACCTTGGATGTTATGGGCAACTAATGTGGGCCTTTACAAGATCTTGAGCACTCTCACCTTTTGAGCTAGCTTTTGGGGTGATGCACCTCAAGGTTCTTATCAGGGTATGATGAATATGAACACTTATTTATTATTAAATTAATATTATCATTATTTGATTATTTTTTATAGAATTCACTATAACTATCGTAATTTATAATAAGGTTAACTATATAATAATGATATATAAAAAATAATAAAATTGTAACAATGGAAGAATATTTTTTTTTATTTAACCATAAAATTAAAAAATTATCAATTAAGGATTATGTGATAAATTATTTTTTTCTTTAAATGAAAAAGCTTAATATAATGTGATTATGTAATAAATTATTTAATCATTCATATGATTTTAATATTTATATGCACAGATACGATCTTACGATCCGTGTCGATTTTATGATTTACGATCTTTTTATCCCCTCCCAATCTTAGGTAAGATCTCGATCTTAACAACATTAGACACCACTGCTACACAAAGTTGGAAACTTGTTATGACTTTATAGATGAGAATCTAAAGTCAAACCTCTCTAGGTATGGGATATTCCTCTGATTCAAGCATGCGGACAACTTGACTCATCTTTGGTCTTTTCTCAGAATCTGGATCAACACACCTCAAAGCAGTCAAAAGGGCTCGTTTAAGGGCACTTGTTGATGGTCTGGTCTCAATGTTAGGGTCCACCACCTCTTCTGCGCGCCTGTTCCCCACCATCATCTTGAGCCAGTCAACCAAATTTACCTACAACAACCATCCAATGACATTAAGGAAAAAAGTCCAAAATATAATAAGATATAAAGTGTAACAGAAACAAATAAAGTTGCCAAGTACTCCAGGGAAATTTCTAATTTATGCCATTCTTCACATTCAAAATTCAAGGGAATATATGTATTTTAGTGAGGAGAGTGAAAGTTCTTAACTCTTATCAATTACCCACAAATAAATTTATATAAATATGCATGTCAGAGTCTTGAATGATTTCTTTACAGGTAACAATGACACACCTCAGCTGCTGGTCGGCTATAATCCACTGGGTCTCTTCCAGTAATTGCTTCAAGGAGCAATACCCCATAGCTATAAACATCACTCTTCTCGTTTAGTAAGCCTGAATTGGCGTATTCTGGAGCCACATATCTGAAAAATGCAATGCAAGCATGAAAAGGAGGAGAACATAGCTAGCCAACTAGAGACAGTTAAAAAGGCCAACTCAGTAAATTATAGGGGTGCAAACAACTGTCTGCAATGTTGTGGAAAATACTAGAAATGATATTTAGAAGTGACAATCAATCATAAATTGTTAAGGCTAAATGAAATGCTTGATATCCCGTTAGGTCTGGTCTGCACATCGTTCGATTCATGGTTAGATTACCAAGAAAAATTAACCAAAAAGATTAACTATAAGACTTCTCAATTTGCAGTATAAAATTTCAAATTTGCAAAAGCGCATTAGTCACAGTGCCTTACTAAATGAGAAATAACAAGAGAAATTACTTTTGAATCATAGAACAAACAACAAGTCCTAAATCTGTAGACAAACGGCTTACCCAAAAGTACCCATTACTCGAGTTGTAATATGACTTTTTCCAGCACCCAGTAACTTAGCCAACCCAAAGTCAGATATTTTGGCATTGAAGTCATCATCAATTAGAATATTGCTTGACTTAATATCTCGATGTACAACTTTTGGCTCAATTGCCTCATGCAAGTAAGCCAGCCTGCAATATAATCATAGATCAGTAAAAGGAATCACTAAAAATTAAAAAGGAAATTTTAAGAAATCAGGACATTGGCTAAATGATCATACGCTTTAGCTGTTCCAAGAAGAATTTTAATCCTAGCATCCCAAGTAAGAAAACCATACTGTCGCATGGCTCCATGAAGCCATTGCTCTAAATTTCCATTGTTAACATACTCATAAACCAACAACCTGAAATTAACAAGGAATTCACTAAGGATCAGGAATCCAAATTTACAATATAAAACCATGGATGGCATTTACCACGAAATTTTATGCTTAAAAAAAAATCTAGACACCATTTGCTGCAGTTAATACATTTGAAATATACTACAAAAGTTTACATTATCATTTGGTAAGCTTGTAAGCTATGTCAATCAAACATCCAAATCAAGATGAAAGCAGACACAAACAGTCAAACACACAAATGGATGGAAGTAGACACAATTACGCAATTTGTGATGATTCATCTTTGCGGATTCCAAAATATATAGAATAAAACATAAGTGGAATTCTGGATGTTTAACCCAAATAAAATGCAGAACAAAACAATATGCTACCTGTGAGTGCCTTCAATGCAATAGCCCAATAGTCTCACCAAGTTCTTGTGCCGCACATGACCAATAGCCTCAACTTCCACTCTGAATTCCTTTTCAGCTTGTCCTCTGCATAACGGGCATCAACAGTATAAGATAAACCAGCTGCATGCAGACATCCTAATAAAACTTGAAACGAGAGATTATAAAATCTAGTTCAAAACTGAAATTAAAAATAAAGGCCGCAATGCAAACTAAATAAAGCTAATGCCAAAACTTACAGATTATTGAGTAGCTTCTTAACAGCCACAGGACTCCCATTGATTAGCTGGCCTTGATAAACAACTCCATATCCACCTTCCCCAATGATATTGTCTTTTGAAAACCTGTTTGTTGCAAGTTCTAGGTCTCTTAATGTAAACCAGTGCCCCCAGCCAAGGTGAGAGAATTCAGGCAGACCAGACAAAGGCGATGGTGCAGTTATAGGATGCAAAGAAGACCTGAAAGCAGAAATAGACTTTGGACCACTTTCTTCACCGGATTGAGAGCCAGCAGTGTCTTTCTCAACATGAATAAATGAGCCTGATTGGCTGCTATTTTCCCCATTTGTTGTTTGGATCAAAACCTTTTCAGAATCCCTGTCACTGAACTTGTCATACAGACTCATAAAAGCACCATTCTGGGGACGATCATTTGCTGAAACTTGATCAACTCTAATCTCTTTGATCTCTTCTGAAACAGATAACATATGGCTAAGGGGAACCATGCCCTTAACTCTTCTGGATTTTTTTCTTGAAGTAAGACATATTGATAGCACCACAAGAATGATTATAATGAACAAACCAACTATTATCCCCATTAATTCCCACGCTTGCAACCCAAAAACAATAGTTTTCTTGGACAACCCTGAACTCAGATCAGATGCCATTTTTCTGCTGCTAATATATATCTGCAGAAGTCAGTGTTAAATATAAGAAATCACTTGAATGCATACATCAAGTGAAGTTGCAAAGTAAAACACATGATTGACAAACTACAATAATGATACACCATACGTACACCTAGTTTGGGAAAGAAAATCACACATCCAGTTATACAAAATCCCAGCAAGAAATTAAATTGTTTAAAATCCTTTTTTGAGTAAGGTTATATTTACAACCTATTTTTATTTACAACCTCTTACAACCATATCTTAACCGTTGATTTCCGCCAATCAACGATCATTATTTTCACAAATCAAACTCATTGATTAATTATTAATTCGCAATAAATGATAATCGTTGATTGACAGAAATCAACGGTTAAAATATGATTGTAAACGAAAATAGGTTGTAAGCATAACTTTCCTCTCCTTTTTTATATAAAAACAATGGAAAAGGCCCACCGCTTACTAACAGAAATTCAGTTTCCCAATAAAAATGCAAAAGGAAAGAACACTAAACTGCATATGAGACTCAGTATTCATATCCCAGACAAATAAAGCAAATAAAAACCAAAGCTAGGAAAGAAAATTGCAACAAGTTGACTTAAAAAGTATTTTTGAAAATATAAATCTTAAGAGGCCAGAAGAGCATGAAGATAAATAAAATCGGTTACACATTGCACTTCATAACCAAATAAGATAGAAAGACTCAAAATTTTGTACACGAAGGAAAAATGAGCCCAATTAAAGTTCAAATTAGCAAACCAAAAATAATTAAGCAAACATTACCCTGTGATTTCCCAGCAACTTAGCAGAGATTTAAAAAAGAAAAATACTATATGAGAGAGATTGAATACAGACCTAAATCCTTCACAGATTTATCTATAGCTCCTTTTCAGACCCTGAATCAACTTAAACACTAGATCTGTTATGCTCCCAAAACCCTCTTGGATGTGAACCCATTGGCGCATGCCCAGCTCAACCCCATTGTCAAAATGTGATTTTGATTTCTGGGTTTTCTCAACTATGTCAATGGGTCTATGTTTTCAATCTAAAAAAAAAAAATGGACTTTCTCAGAGCAGCACCATTGCCCCCTCCTCGAACTCACTACACAAAGCAGAAGGAGGAGGTGACGGCAAAGGCACCGACCCTGTTATGCAGTTGTTGGAGGGAGGGAATTGGAGAACAACACACAAGAAGCACATGAAATTCTAAGAAGAGGCAAATGTTAGGGTAGGGGTTAATAACAAGGCATGGAATTATCAGTGGTAGGTGATGGCAAGTGACGTGGACTCACATTGCATAGAGGTAAAAAACAAGCATCAAAAATGGAAACTTTTCTTTGCTGTTTCTTCAAATTTCTCCCTCCCCCACAGCACACATTTCTCTGCGTGCCTTCCCTTTTTCTATTTCAAGTCCTTTTTCATTTATTGTTTTTTATTATTCATAAGGTTCCTTCAGATGGTGACACTGACAGATAAACAGATGCTTAAATGGTATTTGACATAAAAAAAAAAGAATTAACGCTTATTTTATTTTATTTTTATAGACAATTAGCGCTTATTTTGTTACAAGCGATAATTTTATATGTTTTACACATATAAAAAAATAGGGGAGGATATTGTAAGTTCGTAACAATCAATTAGAGTTAATACAATTATTACTATCAATCAATTTTAGCATTAGATCGATTATGTTGATCCAAAGGTTATTTTTATTTTCATCTTTGTATGGTTATGATTTCAAAACATTAAATACGAAAAATCATAACCATAAAAAGGTAAAAATAAATATAAAAGATTAAGTATGGAGAATCATAATCATACAAAGATGAAAATAAATATAATTGTTAGATCAACATACATATTCGATCTAACGATAAAATTGATTAGTAGTAACTCTAATTGATTGTTATAATATCATCTCCCATAAAAATATACGGGCCTATTTTTCTTTTTTTCATATGGTCTTATAACGGTTTCACGTATATTTATGTGTGTGTAGAATATAAAATTATTTTTTATAATTAAAAAAAAACATTAATAGCAATTGTGGCAAACAAAAAGAAATATCCATTCTTCAATAAGTAATTAACTTCATTTTATTATGTCTCTTCTTTCTTTTTTTCAAACATCAATTTTAGGGGTAAATTTTCAATATTCCTATATTATAAATAAATAAACTAATCTGTAATTAAGAGCATTAATATCATTGCATGAGACAAGTAATCAGTGTGATCTTGAAGAAATGGCAGAATGTAGATTTGTAAAAGAAAAAAGAGAGAGTTGAAAAGGTCAAATGAACAGACTGCACACCGAATAAGCATACAACAAAGTCATCGTTTTTGCAAATTTCGATATCATTGAATTGCGTAAATTACTAAAATTCATTTTAATCTCAATATTTATTGAGACTTTGTTATCCCATTCAGTAGGCTGGATAGTCAAGGAAACAGACTGGACACCATCTCAGTTTTCTGATAGCCCCATAATACCCCCCCCATTCTCCATGTTATCTTCCCTTCTTTTCCCCTATGGACCACTAAACTATAACTTTGAAACTGTGTTGAGTTAATTCTAGTTTCTATTTTCAACCTTTCTCTTCTTCCAAAGGGTATGGGAGAAAAATAAAAATAAAAATAAAAATTGAAGTACTTAATCACACACCCAATTAGGGATAAAATATTCTAAGATAAACACTATGTTGTAATGTGATGAACAACAATATATGGATGAGTGATGAGTAAAAGGGAAAGTAAGTCCCACAGACAGTGAAATAAATGGTTGTCATCCATGAACAATTAATATTCTGTTTAACTATCATATAAAACGTGAAACTTATGTTACAGAAAAATACTATAGATGCACAATGCAAGCAAGTGCTTTTTTATTTTATTTTTGTTATTCGAGTGCTTTTCTATATCCTTTTCTATATAGAAAAGGAAAAGAAAGCAGAAACTATTATTGATATATAGAAGATATGAAACATTTTCAAATTATTTATTCAGATGAGAAATAGTTATAATTCTTGAGCAGATGATAAATAATGAAGTTAGGAGTCTTATTTTGACGAGACACATTCCAAAAGCAGCTCAGCAAGACAATGACTGTTTATTAATTAAGAACCGCGTAGGTAGCATATGCGCTTGCATGATTGCATTGCCTAATGTTGATGGAACATTGCGTTACTTACTTGGATGCACGCATTATTATTCACAGCGTGTCCTCGCCCTTTGGATCATTGCTATATTGTATATCCCAAAATCAAATCATTGGCATGTGTGTGTATATGTGATCACCAATTTTGCACACACAAATTTTTTTATTTTTATTTTATATCAAGTGCTGCAGTTATTTTTCTTTTGTTTGAAAGGGTAGCAGAATATTATTTTAGGTTTTTATCACTTGAAATATATATTATCATAATTTCTTTTATATGAAATGTAAAGTATTACGTTGAAATGAATTATTCTTGTTATCAATAGTTAATTATATAAGAAAATCAAAAGTGAATATATATGAAGCATAATATGTTAATGAAAATAATAGTTAACTCTAGCTTAAACTAAGATATATAAAATATCTGCCTGCTCTCTCTAGAGTCTCGACTCGCAGTATACTCCTTCTCCCCCATTTTAGAAATAGGTATTTCTTCCAATATACACGCAAAATATACGGTATTGTTTTTCTCTCCTCTCTTTGTCTTTGTTTGGATGAGTTTTTTTTCTTCAAAATCTATTTTTTTTAAGAATAAAAACACTTCCCAAAAAACATCTATTTGAATATTTGTTTTTTAAAAAAAAACAGAAATAATAAAAATAGTCAAAAACTTGCTTTTTTTTAAAAAAAACTACATTTTTTTATTTTATTTTTTTGGTAAAAAAAAACTAAAAAATTTAGCTTTTAAAAAAAACTGAAGTCAAAAATTAAATATTTTTTAAAAAAATTAAATAGATTTAGCTTTTATAAAAAAGTATTTTTAAAATAAACAGGCATAAAAAAAAATTGGGAAGGCAATCCAAACAGGCTCTAAAAGAAAGTCAAATCACATAAAAGTGAGTGTTTTATTTGTTATTTAAAAAATATCAATATGATATTGACTGAAGTTAAAGGTAAATTTAATTAATAGTATTAAAATATGCGATAGGTATAGAATAATCGATATATAAGTTCCAAAGTTTGATCATTCAAAAAAAAAATAAAAAAAATCTCAAAGCCAATAACACATAGCTAGTTTCTTTTAACCATATTAACCAAACACTAGTTTGGTCCATGATCCATAAATAGTATTTCGAATTTCAAATCTTTAAATATAATTATTCCATGTCAAACGTTTTGGAACATAATGTTGAGATATAATATCGTAAACAAATTAAGCAAAGCGACAAAGTTAAAAAGCCATAAAAAATGTTCTCAAGAAGAAAATTAGCTTTATTCTTTTCTATATCTTATTACACATAATGGGTAAGCCAAGGAAGGAGGCATTTGGTTACAGCATATCCTCACAGATAACATAAACAAATGCAAAGGCTCGTCTTCTGCCGACAATTTCCCGTAGGTTTTTACAAGAAAGTAAAATCAGAGTCAACCTTTGAAGGACGTTTGCCTTCTAAGGTTAGATTTTCTCAGGAGTTAGATACATAAGGAAGAACTTAACTAAACTTTGTACTTTTATACACATAAATAAATAAATAAAGAGAAATGTGTGTGATTCATTTACTTGTTTAGCACAACTCAGATTCATTTTTACCCAAAGACAAAAAAACAAAACAAAAGCAAAAGCAAAAGTACCCTTTAATTATATTCTTGGCTTGTCTTGACCCTCTTAAACGGTCCTTCATGTCCTAAATTTATATTGCACCATATGCTATTGGGACCCAAAAAAGTTAAATATTCTTCATAGATGTAGATACACATATATAATTAACAAAGTTCCACACCAACACCACACATGCTTAATAAAATAACAAAAGGGGAAGTTTCCCACATTAGATTATGCCTTATCATAGACCTTCAAAGCAAACACCTTAATAAAATCCAACCCAACAAAACCCAAAAATAGACTAAAATATTATAGAAAGAACAATCATAATTGGATTATATGGTCTCCCAGCATAGATTTCATTTCAATTAAAAAGTGCCCATAATGGGACTATTGCAAATGATTTGTTCTTAGTCCATGAACAAGAATCTTTGATGTTGGAAGTGTGAGGCCAAGAGAAACTTTCCCAGGAACAGATCAGTTGGTGTACCTTGATCTATGTTCTATTCACATGAGATTTCAATTAATCATCTAACCCTTTAGGCTGGAATTTCTGGCTGGTGGGATATCAAAATCTGGATGTGGCTGTGGCGTTTGAGACATGTCCACATATTAATGTTAACTAGTGTTAGCACACACGCAACGTTGTGCATTCTGGTTTGCTGCTTCTGTTGCTTACGGATTGTGCTGCTTAGTAGTTGAAACTGCTTTGTCCGTTGAAGTTACACTTATGATATAGTTAGCTTAGCTGGTAATGTCAAGAAAGTTTTGTTCATCCATCCATTTTATATGTAATATTGGTAGTTTTTTAAATGTGTGTGCTAGCGTAGTATTATGAGATCCCTAACAGTTTACACGTTTTTGTTTAATAAGTAAGTATCCAGAGGTTGGCTCTGGTTCAGGGTTATAGATATAACTTCAATTTTTATGAGATACTCAATTACTTTATGCAGAGAATGTATCTTTTTCATAAATAGTTTACGCTAAGGATAGTAAGCATTTGTCATGAATCATGATGTTGACTAAAATCTCCTACCTAAAAATGGCAATTTGATGATTGGAAATATCTTTGAAGTTCAGTAAAATTACTAATTGTCAAATTAAATTGTTGAAGCCTACTTGTTTCTTCCATCCCGGATGCCTCAGAATCCATAAAAAAAGAAAAAAAAAAAGAAAAAAAAAAAGGACCCTATTTGTGCATATTTTAATCTTCTAAATTCATTGAAAGTTTTAGTTTATGAAAGTTTCAGTTAGCAATAGTTTATTTTGTTAAAGATAAATAGCATCAATTTAGCCTTTAAATTATGAAAAGATACATTAATTTAGTCTCTTAATATTAGAAAAATGTATAACACTATTTCAGTCTCTTAGTCATGACCCATAGGAAGATGACATTAATTTAGTCTATCAATAGTAGAAAATGACATTAATTTCGCTACTCAATCCTATGATGTGAGCACAAAAAAACGATTTTGTTGGCACTTTTCATGATTAAGAGACTAAATTAATGTCACATATCTTTTATGACCAAATTTATGTTGACTCAATATTTCAAAAATTAAATATAAATTTACTCTAAAATATATTAATCAAAAACTTTGTCAAGGTTATATTTAGATTATCAACATGAAGAAACAATTAGAATAATAATTAAAAATAAATACCTGTGTGTTTAATAGGTAGTATGCTATTCGGAGATTAATCATGGAGGCAGAAAGTATCCTAAAAGTTCGATTATCATGCCAGATTGTCTTCAGGTTAGTTGTTTCTTACATCGGCTAAGCCTGGAAAAGTTTTCTGCCATCACCAAACCCATTCTATAATTTTTTTTTATTTAATGTGACATAAATGGGCTGGATCAATCAATTCAAATAGATGAACGCGCCGTGGCAAGCCCAATAACCCATTACCATTGTCAGTAATTTGGAGTAGTTTATTGAGGTTAATAACCTTTTTTTAGAGAAGATTAATCATCAAACTTATCCACAAACGGATGTTAATAAATGAGAGGGGCAATCAGTTTCCAAAGGTATCGTATTGAACTAATGATTATAGTATCCAAAAAAAATAAAAAAATATGTAAGACTTAAAAAGGTCAAGGTAAAGAAAATTAATATGAACAGCTGCAAGCACAACTGAATAAATGTAATTTACAAAACCGATCCAGCAGTCAGTTTCGAATATATGCGTAGATTACACATCAAAATATAAGGGGGGGAGGGGAAACCATAAATCTCCTTTGAATTAGACATATACACCATTGGAATGTTACATAAAGAAACATGGCACTCAAAGCAAAGCAGAAAGGCTCTCGTGTGATTTACATAGAATCACAAACAGGATAAGCAAGATTTTTTAAATTTAAATAATTGAAGAGACCAAAATGATGCCTCCAGACAGCAATCCTCTACTTCGAAAAAGTTGGTAGGACTAGGATGGAGAAAACTCTTGTTCAAATAAGAATTAATCAAAATGTTCTCCAGTCCTTACATACAAAAGCCTCCTGGTGGGTGCTGGAGGAGCCAATCCTGGGATATCCCTGATATCTTTGTTGTGGGGATTCACAATCTGCGAAAAATAATACCGATTAATACAGAAGCATAGTATCAGCATTGTACACAAATATGAAACATTTAATAGCGAACAACGGAGCATCTGTTGGCAAGGTAATGCACATAAGCATTTCAACAGGCACTCACTAGTACGGATCATCATCCAATACAAGTTCTCGCAACCTTTTTTCAATGTTATATATTGTACTACTAAAGTAAATTGTTTAAAACATTTCATGTAAAAATGCTTCTTTCGAATAAATTCTCAGCATCTTGGTTTAACTAACTTTTAAAAAAAATATATATTACTTGAGAGGAAAACATATCCTGTCGACTTTGTGGAATTAATAGGTGAAATGAGCATGATACCTTCACGACAATAATGGCAATTACACCACAGACGATAAGGAACAGAAAAAGCATGATGCACTTGTCCGTAGCTACCTGATAATGGGGAAAGGCAATTTAGTTCCATGACACAGGTTTGAAGGAAAGTAAATAATGCATAGAAGCAAAGAAAATGAAGCAACCTGTCTACCAATCTCCTTAACAAGTTGGGAGGCCTTCTTAATTGAGAACTGAATTGAATCAAGCTCGTTAACAACACGGCCCATTTGTTCAGTCTGCATAATTTGAAAACAGAAATAAAGGTCAAATTTGTGATCACTTAGACTCTTCCCTTCGTATAGCATACTCAATGCAAATCAAACTTACTTGGCCCTTCAACGTAGCAGCAGTTTGGGTGCCCACTTCAACTGTTTGATATACAACCTACATTTGGACAGGGGTAAGAACAGAGGTCCAGGGGCAAGGGAGGTATAAGTCTGAAGTGACTCACCTGCTTAGATCTCTCAATAGCCTGATCAGTTTCATCCATTGTCTTCATCCCAGCATTGATAAGTTCTTGATTTGACATTTCTATAGGACATGCCAAATGAGCAATTTTGCTGAGATAAATCCGTTATTCACTACACAAAAAATCATAAAGCACACAAAGAATGCCCCAGTCCCCCAACCCCAAGAAGGATGTACCAACAAAAATGAAAGCCTGAAGATGCCATTACAAAAATTAGCACCCAAATACAATGCTTAGATTCTATATGGAGACTGGTCACGATAGAAGCACAAATATACAGTGAAATCAATTTCAGCGGTGAAGTGCTGCTATCATCTCATTGGTATCAGTTACAAATTCCATTGAACATTTTACCTGATGCCAATTGAACATTTTCTTCAGCTGTAGGTGCACTTGCTCCCATGTCAAAAAGTTCAACTTTTTTATTACCAAGGGTATTCATGTACCTGTTTATCATCCAAGTGTTGGTATTAATCCTCATTTCAAATAGCCCAAGGTATAAATTATAAAACTTTTATTTAGGAGTAAAAAACTATAAGAGAAGGAAATTAAATTTTGCTTTATTGGTTCTGCTAAAACCAACCATAAACATTTATCGCGAATTCATAATTTTGGAAATTGAATATGCCCCACAGGGGAAATTCGTATTAATCATCTGATTTGTTTCATAACCTTCAAAAGAACCAATCCTATGTTAAAGACCAAGATGGAAGTATATAGATGAACTTACGTTTTTCTCAATGCCACATATGAGTTTAGCTCCTTGATCTGCAAGAAAAATGTGTCTTAGCAAACATATAAGAGTTGGATGTTTATGTGCAAGGACATGCAATGCATAACAAACATACGGACAATCCTCTGACCATATGGAGATCCCTTTATTTGATGTCTTGACAATACCCAGAAAGAAAGTAAATGGCATTGCTTGCAAATTATTTATAAAGTTGTTCCACGTCAAAAACAGGATAAGCTGGAATGTCAATTCACAATACACAGAAGATCTTGCAGCCCTTCCAAACTTTGAAGAGGTAGATACTAGATTTCCAACATGAGCAAGAAAACAAGAAAGGTTCTGTGTACTGACCATTGATTGCTTTTCATCATTTAGTTGCTTGTTCACTTCTGGGGGATTTCTTCCCTCTTCATCTTTAATCTCACGATCAAACTCTTTTATCAACCTGAAACCATAATAGTAACGCTTCATATGCTAAGTATGCCAGTAACACATTCCAAAATCAAAATTACAAAATATGTCAAAATCAAAACAAATTTCACTTCTTTCAGCATTGACGTATAGAAAATCACATACTAATTCTACCTGTCAAATAAGAAGTCTGGAAAACACATAACTAGTATGATAAACTAGAACGTACATATGTAAAAAAAAATAAAAAAATCATAAAAATATTCAATATATAACAAGGTTCCATGTTTTCCACATTATCATCATTCAAACCCTAGAAAGTTAGCATGTGATGTAAATTCCATTACAGAACTCTTGTTTATGATATTAGTAGTAACAAACAAAATTTCCACCATGCCAGCCTATGAGAAGAAGAGAAGTGTGAAAGTTGATATTTTGAATAAAATCTGCATTTTCCTTTTCACTCAGATTTTTAAATTTTACCTCCTTCAGATTTCAGAGACCCAGAGTCACCAACAAGAGGTATCAAGATTGCAATTACATAAATGCACTACTTACCGCTTGCACTCCCTCATCTTTCCTGTGAGTTCTTCCAGCTGATTACTTTGTCTATTGGAATCTTTAATCTTATCCAGCTTCTGGAAGCCATTTCTGGATGCAAATGGTGAATATATCAAAAGAAATATATTAATGAAGGAAGAATAACATAATATCCATCAGAAGATTCAGCTCATCACTGAGTGAAAGAGGGTAACCAAGGTCAGAGGCAGTTATATACACAGTTTCAAGAAATGAGAAATAAATCAATGTGACCAGAAAAATGCATATACTAGTAGTGAATAAAAACATGCAATGTTGATCCTAGCAACTGAGTCTCGCTATCCTTTGAATTCCAGATGAAAATTTTTCCGCAGAATATAAATGAGCCCCTTATATAGAATAATATAATTCCATGCGGATTTACGTCATTCTAAACATACACATCATCATGAACATCCTGCAATCGTATGTAACTATTGAAAGTTGAAAAAAAATAAAATTGCATGACTATACCACCCAAAATATTTCAGAGTTCAAAATGATCAGTATGAAGAATAAGGACATGCAATTGATGAGATTAATGGCACGCATTAAGGGGCATCTCCTCTGTGGCGTAATAAATATTTTTTGCAAACCCTTAGTTCAAAATGATTTTGGATAGTCAGACACATACTGATCATTTTAAATAAGCTGCAACATTTAGTCTTTCAAGTATAACATGCAAACAAGTAACAACCAACTTTTAGTCTGCACTAAGCACACTTACAATCAGGTGGTTTCTTCAATACAACCATGACTATTCATATCAAGTGGCATCGAAGACAGGCCTTCTTGTGGTTGAACTACTAACCTCCCAGTATCATCCTATTTCCACCACAGCCACACTCATTTTATCAACTACTGTCCTCCCATAGTTATTTAGCCAACTTTGTTTCTTTAGAAACAAAATAAAAACCTAAATTTTCAAATATCCCTAAACCTAAAGGTCAAACAACACAAAGTCTGAACTTACTCAAGAATTGAAAGGACATCCGCATGCGACCTACCACTCAAATTGAACAAAATTACATTTCAGAGGGTAAACCCCCAATGTCAACAAACATAAAATCATGACCTCTTGTAATACCAATATAATTTATTATCAATCACATCCCAAACATGCTACAAGTTTTTTTTTTCTCTCCTTTGAAAGTGGCATTCATCACAACGAATACAATCAAACATGACACACAAATACGGAATCAAAACAATAAAAATATTAGAGAGGGAATGATAATGCATACGCGAGGGCTCGAAAGTTGTCGCGAATTTCACCGTGGATCTGCTCGAGCTGAGGGGTCATCTGCAAGTTGGTGGCCATGGCTGCCGGAGATTAAGTCTGCCCCCAAAATCCCGGCAAAAGAAAAAAAAAACGAATAGCGGAGAGAAACCCTAGGTCGTTGTTGACAGAGGATGATGATGATGATGATGATGATGATGATGCATAGTTGTTTGTTTTAACGGAAAGGAATGGAAAATTGAGAATTAGAAGGAGAATGTGGCAATTTTTGGATCAATTTGAATAATATTGCATTGCGTGGAAGTAAGAGAACGAGAAAGGTTAGAACAACACAACAGAATGCAAGTTGGCTTCTACCTGTGCTCTGAAAAAGTTGAGAGAAGAGAGAGAGAGAGACAGAATCGCTGTCACAAAACAAATTTATTTATTATTTATATGATACTTAAGAATCAATTAATGTTACTACTTATATGATACTATCAATCACTTAGATCGATTATGTTGATTTAACAGTTATATTTATTTTCATCTTTGTATGGTTACGATTTCTCATATTTAATACTTTATATTTATTTTTACATTTGTATGGTTATGATTTTCACATTAAATATGAAAAATCATAATCATACAAAGATGAAAATAAATATAACTGTTGGATCAATATAATTGATCTAACGATGAAATTGATTGGTAGTAACACTAATTAATTGTTATAATATTGTGCCCCTATTTACATTTATAACTTTTTTACTTACGATCTCTTATAATTATTAGGTGTGATTCAATAAATTATAATCGTCTAATTGAAAAAAATTATTAATTAAGATTTGATTATTAGATATTGTAAATATAAATTTTTTTATGGGTTCATTTTTATTGCAGTAGAACTTGAATTTAAAACGACTTCGTTTTGAGACGAAAATAAAAATATTTTTATAATTATAATTTATTTTAGAGTTATAATAATATTTCTTATTAAACTTTTTTGAAATATTATAAATTTTTAATTCAAAACGACGTTGTTTTAAGTATAAATATAAATAACTTATCTACGTTCACTATATAAACTTTAAATTCTTTTTCTATTTATTATTTCTTTTTCCTCTAAATTCTTTGTTATTATTAAGCGATAAAATTAAAGAAATTTTAAATTTTAAAATTAAAAGAATGTGTGTGATGATGTGCAAACCCCTCACAACGCGGGAAAGTTTTGTTTTCATTAAAATGTTCTTATCGCGCTAAATTTTGCGTTCACAATGCTGACTAATGAACAATTTTTCTTTTAAAAAAAAAAAAAATCTTTTAGAGATGTAAAATTGTGAAAATATTAGAGGATAATCAAATTAGAAATTAGAAGTCAGAAATAGTTGTAGTTGAGGTTGGTGCGTTTTTAGAAGAAAGATAATTTGGTTGTTATGAACTGAAACTTGTGATGCAATAAAAAACGGAGAAATTGATGATTTTGGTGGGTGGCGGCTCAAGAACACAGGTGTTGAAGTGGAATGCGCTGTCTCTTAGTTACTCTTTTGTCTTGTCTTGTCTTGTCTTGTGTGTTATGCAATTCACGTTATGTCAATCAAGATATGTATTTTACTATTTAATTTTTTTTTACCCATTTAATGTCTATACAAGTGTTTGTAAAGTCATATAAATTTTTAACATTAAAATTTAACTCTTCGCGTATTTCTAAATGATTCAATCTTATAAAAATGGAGAATGAGTTTGTTATGCTACAGAAAAATTTTATAACTTGTTGCTGATACATAGAAAGTCGTGCCAATCACTTTTATTTTTTTATTTTTAAAAAAAATGATAGGTCCCATGTCAGTTTCAATCTATAACATGATGAGAATTTTTTTCTGTACCATAATATCTATAAATCTCTATAAAAATTGTATACTTGAACTTGATATGAATAAATATTTTTTAATTTCATGAATATAGAATTACAAACTAATGAGATTCTATGAATCCTCATCATTAATTCTATTATTTTTTTAATAAAAATCTAAATGTCTATATAGACATAGATATAATACATTAAAATCAGGTTGATCCGATCATTGCATTGAAAACCAACGCTTGGGTGTGAATTGATAATGACATGACTTTTCAAATATTGTCATGTTTTAGGTGGTATGATCATATATTTTTCTTTTAACATATATCCCAAAATATTAATATCAGCATAGTTATTAATATCGTGTGATACACGATATGATTCACAATCACAAAGATACATATTGTGGGATATATCGAAAAGAAGTTTATATCGGACAATACGATATTGTATCATACAATACGTATCATATATCGTACGATTTGAAAATTAAATTAAAATTCATAATTTTAATATAAAAAATTAAGATTTTGATTTATAATTTAAATTAAAAAATATAAAAATATTATTAATAATAAGGAAAGAAATAATTTTATTTGTAATTTAAACTCAAAAAATACTCTGAAAATTTTATATTAATAAAGGAAATAATTAAATATATATTTTAATATATATTTTTAAAAAATATTATATTTTTGTATCTTACGATTCGATACGATTCACGAGATACACGATACAAAAAAGTAATTAAACACTACACAATACGTATTATAATTCAACAACTTTAATTATGAGACAATATTAGAGGTTAAATTGCAAATTTTGATTCTTTATAGTAAAATCAATGAGATTGATGTTAACAACTCCATAATTTGTTATATATGTCCATGTATATTACAACGACAGTAGTTAATTTTTTAATTGACAAAACACAACTCTGTATTTTATCATCTAAAATGTTTCTTATTTTAAGAAGCCAAATTCATCATATGTTATGAATATAATATAAAATTATTGATGTGGTTTTATTTAATAGTTTAAGTTTTTTTTTGGAGAGTTTGTTGTATGATATGATATTATAGCTTATATGACTAAGTGGTCTAGAATTCCATCATTGTTGTCGTCCTTATTCTTTTAATAAATAAATATGATGAAATTTCTTAGCAAATGCTAAATAGGTCTCTGTATTGTTCATTACTTCATTATTTAAGTTCAAATTTTTTTATCGTGAGCAGACATATTAAAAAAGAAATATAAAATTATTCATATATTATATTTAATAACTTAAATTTTTGAGAGAATTGATTGTATGAAATGATATTAACATCTTAATTATTGTTGCAATTAGAAAGCCCTCCAAGCAACAATTAAAATCTTAGTTGGTAATTAAGGGTAAAAATAGATCATACCACATATAATGCCCAACTTATTTTCAAATTATCTTGACCCAACTAACTTTTCGATAAAGTCAAGTTTAAACTTTTAAAGGGGCTTATTTAAATAAGTAAGGTGTAGACTTTTTAAAAAATATTTACTTGATTTATCAATTAATCAGTGGCGGAATCATAAGAAAAACTCAATCAGTGCCAAAAGATCCAACCAAATAGAATTCAGTAACTGTCAAAATTATATTATTTTTAAAAACTCATCCAATGCTAAGGTTGTACCATAAATTTTTAAAAAAATCTGTATCATTTTTAAAAATTAGCTATCAACTGGCTCCCCCATTGCAACTAATATATTTATTTATTACTTAGATATATAATTAAGATTTTACAATACTTTCATAATTTATTAATTATATAATACTATAACATATTAATTTTATTTAAGGTTATGTAGTTTTAAAAGTAAAAAAAAAAAAAGAAATTCTTAACTTATTCAAAAGCTTTCATGTAATGTATGTTCTTAAATAGGCTTTTAAGATAGACAAAACTTTTATTATGTATATTCATAAAAACATACGCTTATCCTTTTTTTTATTTCAATACAATAAATAAATATTGCCTTGATTCTCACGTGACACTTGCACCCCAAAGCCCCCTCTTCACCACCAACACCACATCTAGGGATGTTCATCAACCGATCCAAATCGATTCAAACGACGGTGACCGAATCGAAAAATCGACAACCGAACAAATCAAAAATCGAAAAAAAGTCGCAACTTTTAATTGGATTGAATCGGTTTTCGGATTGCTTAATAAAAACCGATCTAATCCAAACCGATCCAATATATTAATTTTTCTCTACTTACTTTGGTCTTTCTTCAATTATAATCCAAAAATTTCTAAACCTAAGATCCATTAACCCATCAACTAAACCCAAAAAAAAACCTATTCACATCTCATCAATAAAATTTCATTTGCGCAGAGTTTCATATCTCATTGCCCCCAAAAAAACTATAAACTATATTATCGTTTACTGATGCTTTTGTATTTCAATTTTTTTTTACAAAGTCAATATATATATAAAAGATGTTATTTGCCTGAAACAAATTTTAGAATTTTCAAAAAATCGAAAACGGATCCAATCCAAACCGAAAAAAATTGGATCGGATCGGATTTGAAAAAAAGTCCAAACAGAATGGATGATTACATGGTCAAACCGAAGAAATTGGATCGGATAATTTTTGCTTCTAAAACCGATCCAATCCAATCCAGACCGCGAACACCCCTAAGGTTCACATCCAAATAAAAAATAATTATCATTAAATGAAAAAAAAATCATGAAAGCAATGGTGCACATCAAATCAAGAAAGAAGGGTCTTGTGCAAAAACATTTACTTGTGATTTTCCAACGTAAGGAAATGTCAAAAAAAAAAGGTACACAAGTAGGCTTAGGAATGTTGGTGAAAGGGGTCAACGCAGTAAGAGAGCAGTAATCGAAACAAAGACTTATTATTATCTTGACACGTGTAAGAAACCAATAATTCTCCACGTGTCAACAACACCCTGTTATGCAATTGATCCCAAAGAACACATCACAGAGCACGTCAATTTTTAAAAAGCTTGAACCTTTGTCATCAATTTTACAGTTAAAAACCAACCCCACTTGTCCTTTTCTGTCTATGCGGAAAACCATGTTCTGGGTCGCGTCAGTTTCCCTCTCTCTCTCCACAAATTGGGGGACGGTTATATCGGTGTTGTGTTGTTATTGTTTTAATCTATATAACTAATGTATGTTTGGCTTTCTCACACTGTGTTCCTCGCTTTGGTTTCGGTTTTTATGTGGGGGTGATTTTGTTACATTCTGTGGGTTGTTGGCTCTAGAGATAGAAGTGAGGCATGGCGGCTAAGATTAAGAAAGTGTTGGAACCATTGATGGAGGAGGTGAACCGATGGGGTTGTTTGAAGCAGACTGGGGTGAGCTTGAGGTACATGATAGAGTTTGGTTCCACACCCATTCCCAAGAATTTGCTCATTTCTTCTCAGTTCCTTTACAGGGAGCTTCCTATTAGGATTGCTAGGAGAGTCATTGAGCTTGAGAATCTCCCATATGGCTTATCTCATAAGCCTCCCGTTTTGAAGGTATGTATGAATCTCCCATACTACTAGTTTACGATGCCCTTGGAGTGATGTAGGTTTCAGTGATGTGCATTAAGGCAATCTTATTAGCAAAGATAAGGGAGAAGGACTTGCTTTAAAGTTAACTTGTGGTTTTGCAAGTCTTTATTGATTATTGAACTTTTGTCCTGCACTTTTTTTTCTTTTTCTTTTTATATTTATAGGTTAGAGATTGGTACTTGGATTCTTTCTGTGATCTTAGATCTTTCCCTGAGATCAAGAATATGAATGATGAGAAAGAATTCACTGAAATGATTAAGTTCATCAAGGTGAGACACAACAATGTAGTACCTACCATGGCCCTTGGTGTTCAGCAGTTGAAGCAAGGTATGAATGGGAAGATTGTTTACAAGGATCCTGATGAGATAGATCAGTTTCTTGATCGCTTTTACATGTCAAGAATTGGAATCCGTATGCTTATTGGTTAGTTCTGAAAACACTCTGCCTGCCATCTAAAAGACTAATCAGTTTGTTTGTTCCAAAATTTGGCTATTTAAATCCTTCTGGGGGAGGTCTAAACTCTAAATTCGTTGTATGTGTTTTTTCATTTTGATGGGATTCAGGGCAACATGTTGAGTTGCACAATCCCTATCCTCTTCCCAATTGTGTAGGTTGTATTCATACAAGATTGTCTCCCATGGATGTGGCATGGAATGCCAGTGAGGATGCACGTGCTATGTGTTATCGTGAATATGGCAGTGCCCCAGATGTACATATTTATGGGGATCCTAATTTTATTTTTCCGTGAGTAACAACCTTCACCCTTCTATGACTTCATTTGCTTTTGTTTTTCCAGAGAACCCTTCTTGTTTATTGTGCTAGGAATGGTTATCTTGTTAGAACTTATCTTATAGGTGTGTAGTTCTCTTTGATTCTGTTATGTTTCCTCAACAGGTACGTTCCAGCTCACTTGCATCTTATGATATTTGAGTTGGTTAAGAACTCACTGCGTGCAGTCCAAGACCGTTTTATGGATTCTGACAAGATTGCTTCTCCCATTAGAATAATAGTTGCTGATGGAATAGAGGATGTTACCATAAAGGTACTTAGTTTCATTAACTTTTAAGGAGAGCTCCATGGTACCCCTTTGTTGTGGTACCTCTTGTTCTGTTAGCAGTGTTATTGATTGATAGATGATTGTTAAACAAATTCCAATGGTCAATAATGCAGGAGGTACCACACAAAGCTCAAACTTTTAAAGTATAGTTACTAGTTTTTGGAGTTATCCTTTTTCTGGGATTTTTGGCCTTTCATTGTGGCATTTTTACTTGCTATAAAAAAGATGCTTTGTTTATCTAAATAACATGGTAGGTCTCAGACGAGGGAGGTGGAGTACCAAGAAGTGGTCTTCCAAAAATATTTACATATCTCTACAGTACAGCTAGAAACCAATTGGATGAACATTCAGATCTTGGAATAGCTGATAATGTAACAATGGCTGGATATGGTCATGGGCTTCCTGTTTGCCGCTTGTATGCTAGGTATTTTGGCGGTGATCTTCAAGTAATCTCTATGGAAGGATATGGTAAGTAAACCATAACTAATATCACGCTTGATTCACAATATTTTTCATTTAGATTTCCTTCCAACGTTTTTACTGTTGTACTTGCAGCATGGCAACTTTTTGTTTCTCTTCTAAAATGTTTCCAATATTGTACGGCTTTTGAATTATTGAATTTGATTGCACTATTATGTGCTACAGCTGTGTCAGCGGCTGAATGATTCATTCAGGTAGAAAGAAAAACAAAAAATACCAAAACGATTGGGTGGAAATTTGTTTACAAGACGCTTTCTTTCTCCAAAGGAAGAGAATGAAATATATTTTTTCCTTTATATAGAGACAGGGAGATTGAATCTAACAATAAGATGAATTAAATGTTTGGATGATAATAATTCATTTCCTAGTCTTCGACCCCCTTAATCACTGATATTGAGAGATGAAAGCTAGGGGAGCGAATGAGATTAGATACCCCATAATTCTAGCCGTAAACAATGGATACTAGGCATTATGCATATAAACTCGTGCAATGTTGTAGCTAACGTGTTAAGTATCCCGCTTAAGGAGTACATTAGCAAGTATGAAACTCACGAACTTTTGAGGGCCCAAACAAACAATGGAGCAAATGGTTTAATTCGATGCAAAACGAAGAATCTTACCAGAGCTTGGCATGCCACAAATCCTCTTGAAAGAGAGTGATGCCTTCACGAACGTGGACACAGGTAGTGCATGGTTATCACCAGCTCATGCCGTAAAGTGTTGGGTTAAGTCGTGCAACAAGCGCAACCCTTGTGTCTAGATGCCAATGTTGAGTTTGAAACCCTGAGCAGATTATCAATGATAAGCTGGAGGAAGGTGAAGATGATATCAAGTCATTATGCCCTTATTCCTTGCAACATACGTGCTACAATGGTCAAGATCAAGGATCGCAATCTTGTGAGGGGGAGCAAACTCTGAAAACCAATCCTCAATCATTGGCATTGTGCATATCAACCTGTGCAATGCTGTAGCTAACGCGTTAAGTATCCCACTTGGGGAGTACGTTAGCAAGAATGAAACTCACGAACTTTCGAGGGCTCACACAAGCAATGGAGCAAGTGGTTTAATTTGATGCAAAATAAAGAATCTTACCAGAGCTTGACATGCCACAAATCCTCTTGAAAGAGAGTGGTGCCTTCAGGAACGCTAACAAAGGTAGTGCATGGTTATCATCAGCTCATGTCGTAAAGTGTTGGGTTAAGCCGTGCAACAAGCACAACCAGCGTGTCTGGGTGAAAATGTTGAGTTTGAAATCGGAGCATATTGCCAATGATAAGCCGGAGAAAGGTCAGGATGATGTCAATTAATGATTTTGGACATTGATATTAATTATTGATTTATTATTGAAAACTTTATTGTCTTTTGACATTTATTATTTGAATTGAGTCTTTCAAATGATATTAATTAATAATTTTTCATTGATTAAACCTTTAAATTGGAAATTGTTGAACGAGATTGAGTGATGTTATTATATGGTTTCATCACAAACGATCTGTTTGCCTCGCAATGACCTGATAGAGAAATCCCAATTCATTAGACCTTTCCATATAATCAAATAGTAAGCCCCAACCAAGGGCATCATATTGTTTGAGTGATTGAACGAATCTTCCTTCTCCTCTCGGTTGAGACTCCTTTCCTTTCTTTAAACTCCAATTCATATTTTGCATAAAGAAATCTCTTATCAACTATAAAAACAAGATTCATTTTGATAATATCTAAGGAATTCCATAATTTGGGGAATTGGTAAAGGTATTTTGATTAAAAAAAAAAAGATTTATTGTTTCTCATTTTATAAAAGAGAAATTTATCTCCTACACACACATAAAAGTGTGTGGAGTTTATGTTTTCTCTCTACTTCTCATTTAGACTCACATAGACCCTATATACTTTTATGTATGTGTAGGAGATAAAATTTATCTCTTATAATATGAGAAACATTAATCCCAAAAAAATATAGAGTCAGGAATTAACCTTCTAGTTGTATGCTTTTTTGACAGAAACAAAAAATGATATCTTGCTACCATTTTTGAAAACGATTAAAAAAATTCCCGAAATAATATATATAAAGGCAATGATTGAAGCAAAAGCTAAAAAATCCTAGAATAAGTAAATACTATTTTTAAACTATCTCGACAATTCGATTAGAATAACAATTCAAAAGAAACGCACTATAGCCTCTAGCTGTGTTTCACTTACACTGCCACATGCAACTGAAAGATATCAGACCCAGGAAGCAAGATAACTCTCAAATGAGAGTTCTAAATGAAAGAATTGAAAAGAAAGCATGTATCTGAATAATACTTTGTATATTGCTTGATTGTTAATATCTCTGTGTACATTCTGATATATGTACAGAAGAGGCTAAACTAACATGTGTAACTAATTTAACTAACTCTTAATGGATTGGGCCTTGATGGCCCATTATCCTAATATATGGGCCATCAAGGCCCAATCCATTAAGAGTTAGTTAAATTAGTTACACATGTTAGTTTAGCCTCTTCTGTACATATATCAGAATGTACACAGAGATATTAACAATCAAGCAATATACAAAGTATTATTCAGATACATGCTTTCTTTTCAATTCTTTCATTTAGAACTCTCATTTGAGAGTTATCTTGCTTCCTGGGTCTGATATCTTTCATGGTATCAGAGCACACAAGATCCATGGACTCTCCACAATCAGATGCAACCTCCATGAGCAATGCCAACACGTCAACAACAAAAATCATCATGAAGTCTTTTTCCCAACCAATTGCTGATAAACTAGATGAAGACAGTTTTCTTCCATGGCAACAACTTGCCCTTGCAACCATCCACGGTCATGATCTTCAAGATCATCTTGATAAAGAAAAAATTCCACCTCAATATCAGACACCAGAAGATCAAGATCTGCAGATCATCAATGCTGCATACACTCAATGGCATCAACAAGACAATCTTCTTGTCTCATGGCTTCTTTCTTCGATGAACATGTCCTTCAAAAATAGAATGGTTGGCTGCACTCATGCATATGAGATCTGGATCAAACTTCAGGTATATTTTGCTTCTCATACTCAAGCGAAAATCAAGCAACTCAAGAACTTATTAAAGAACACCAAGAAAAAAGGTCCAGCTTCTGAATATCTACTGCAAATCAAGAAGATCACTGACTCTTTAGGAGCTGTTGGTGCACCTCTTACTGATAATGAATACAATGAAGCAATTCTTGATGGATTGGGAGAAGAATATGCTCCCCTCATTACATCTGCAATGTCCAGATCTCCTCCATTCTCTATCATTGAATTAGAAGCCTTTCTACTGGCACAAGAAGACATGCTTGATCGCTTCAAGAAAACAGAACTCCCCCCATTCAAGCCAATTTCAATCAAAGAAATCCATCTCAAGACCCTGCAGCTATTTTCAATACACAAAATCAGCCATCAGAACCTGCTGGTAATCGTAATTTTGGTGCTCGAAGAGGCAGAGGTTACAGAAATTTCAGAGGAGGCAGATATTCCAACCCCTCTTGGAATCAAAATCGACTTCAATGTCAAATATGTGGCAGAAATGGCCACCCTGCTTCTAGATGTTTTTATCGCTATGATTCTTCTCCACAAAACACACCTACAGTTCCTATGAATCAGAGAACACCACCACCACCACCACCCATTTTTCATAATCCAACAGCTTACTTAGCTGGTCCTGCCTCCCTTGTTGACAATTCCTGGTATCCTGATTCTGGTACAACTCATCACCTCACCAATGATATTAACAATCTCACTACCTGTTCTGAATATAATGGATCCGATAAGGTACATGTTGGTAATGGTGCAGGTATGTCTATTCAACACTTTGGTAACTCCACCTTATGCACCTCCCATTCATCTACAGTTTTTAAACTCAACAATTTACTGCATGTTCCTCACATTACTAAAAATCTGATTAGTGTATCCCAATTTGCCAAGGACAATGATGTTTATTTTGAGTTCTATCCTAATTATTGTCTTGTCAAATCTCAGGTTACCAAGGAAATTGTTCTCAAGGGCAATCTTAGAGATGGACTCTATCAGTTCACCAACTCTTATGTGCATTCACACCCTACATCACTCACATCTCCCACTGCACTTTATTCTAAACTTGCTTCTTTTGATGTTTGGCATAAACGTCTAGGACATGCTGCTCCACCTATTGTTAGAACTGTCTTACAACATTGTAATATTCCTTTTCATATGAATAAACGTTTTTCTGCTTCATCTGTTTGTGAAGCCTGCTGTCTAGGAAAAATTCACCAATTACCTCACTTTGATTCAAATACTCAATATACCTCTCCTCTTGAATTGGTTCTGATTGATGTTTGGGGTCCTGCACCTATTCCTGGTAATTCAGGATCATTTTATTATGTGTTATTTGTTGATACCTTTACTCGTTTTAGTTATCTATTTTTTCTGCGCAACAAATCTCAAGTTTATCAAACCTTTATACAATACAAGACAACTATTGAAAACCTCACTGGTTTCACAATTAAATCTGTGCAAACAGACAATGCCAAGGAATTCAATTCATCTCAGTTTAACCATTTTCTCAACATGCATGGCATCACTCACAGACTCACCTGCCCCTATTCTCATCAGCAAAATGGCAAAGTTGAAAGAAAACATCGCCACATTACAGAGGTTGGCTTGGCTCTCTTAGCCAATGCTAAATTACCTTTATCATACTGGGAAGAAGCCTTTATAGCAGCCATCTATCTTATCAATCGGTTACCAACACCTATCCTTCACTTTAAATCTCCCTTTGAACTCATATATCACAACAAACCCGATTACAGCTTTATGAAGATATTTGGCTGTGCTTGTTTTCCCCTACTTAGACCATATAACAGACATAAACTTGATTTTCGATCCACCAAATGTATTTTCTTAGGATATGCAGTTAATCACAAGGGATACAAGTGCCTTGCTCCAAATGGTAAAATCTACATCTCTAGAGATGTTTTATTTGATGAATTTAATTTTCCATATTCTGAATTATTTCCTCCATCATCTCCTATATCTCAATCAAATGATATTTCTCTCATTCCCCATATTCCTTTGTTACATCAGCATCTTCCTACACATATTTCTCCACCCTCTCATTTATCTGTTACTACTAACATTTCTCCTAGTGTTTCAGCATCACCATCCACCTCTCCTGATCCAAATCC